GGCGGCCAATTAGGCTGGATGATTTTAAGCTAGTTTGCCACTATGATGTTCTGTCTCTTCACTTCTGAAATAAGTAGGTGATCTTGATGCCTATAATGTCCAGTCTAGCTCTAAGATTTTATGTCCCTTTGGGCTATACCTGAGCCAGAACTGGCAAGTTCATCTTAAGGACAAGTATATGATCTCTGAGCAACTGTGTGGGAGAAATTTGTAACTCATTATTGTTTCATTGATAATGTGTGGTAGCCAGTGATAAAGTCATTTATTAGGTCAGCTAAAGTTACAGCCAGCTTGGCACTTTGTAATCATCATAAAAATTAATATACATTTGAATCTAAGTCAGGACTGGATATGCCTTTATCCTAAAACTAAGAAGCATCCTCTAGGTGTGTATTTTCTGTGATGTGGTACAGAATGCAATATCAGGGCACGTGGATATTTTATTTTTATATTCAAAGGCTAATTTTCTGAAGATTGGGTCCTGGGGTGTGTGGTGTCCATAAATAGTTAGGTTTTCTACTTTCTGACTTTGTTGTTAATCTAAGTTTAGACCATAAAGTGAATTTCACACCGACTGCTTTGAGCTTTAATTATCTTGACCACTGTTGATCGGTCGCACTAGTTAAGGCATTTAGAGTACATTCATCTAGTAGATAAGGCAGTGTATCTTTCAAGCAAGACCTCGGATTTCTAAATAACAGATTTCCCATTGGCAGTTTGAAACACGGTATTTGTTCGATGTAGGCTTCATCTGCATGAGAAAAATTCAACCAGTAGATTTGTTTAGTTACTATCCCACAAATATTCTTTGCTTAGAAAATGGACACGTTTGTGATATTTCTTACTAAAGCCAAGATTGGTGCCCTTTACAGTCTTTTATGCATTGAAATCAACATTTTCTCTGTTTATTTTTATTACAAACACCATATAAGTTTAGGCTGAATCATTTTATCAAAATCCTAGTTTTTATCATCTTTAGGTATATAAGGCCTAGATTGCCATTGCTTTCCTCAATTTTCCATCCTTAAAGGAGTTTATTTCCTCTTGAGGATCTTATATAAAGGAAATTGGTGTCACCAGGTCTCTTGGTGGAGTTTTTTGTCATGGAATCTGGGGTGTGGGTAGAGGAAGTGGCAGCAGCTGACAGTGGAAATGCAGGTGAGGCCCTGTGGTAAAAGAATTTGTCTCACGGCTAAGGAGGTTTTATTTCATCCTGTAGGTGACAGGGAGCCAATAAAAGGTTTCTAGCAAGGGAGTGATGTGGTCATCTTTAAGAACAGTCCCTCCAGAGAAAATGGATTCAAAAACAAAGACTTGAGCAGTGGCCAAGTCAGGAGGCCTTAGGAACACGCCGGGCCCGGTGTGATGAGGCTGCTGCAGTTTGGGGGCCGGAGAAGGAGGGAGAGAATTAGGAGACAAATATGTATCCTGCCTGCCTTCTAGGCATTCTGGGGATACAGAACTGAGTCAGATGTGCATTCTTCTCTGGAAAGAACTGCTTCCTCTGTGGAGGCAATTCAGTGTTTCAGTTTCCATGGCTGAATGTGGCATAAGGCAGAACCCTCCACCTTGGTCTGCGGTAGGTTTTCCTCCTTGTTGCACCTCATTGCTTTCCACAGTTCCCCCTTTGCTCTCCTGTATGAACCTCTTGCATCAGCCGAGGGGGAGAAGGTCTGAAAGACCAGCTTTGTTTTCCTTCCAGCCTGTACTCTGAGCCCTGTTAGCCAAGAGGATTGGCACTGCCTCACAGAAATGGTCAGTCCCAAATTAAACAACCTCGTTATGAAACCTGCAGTCAGGCTCTTTACTTCTGGGCCGTGCCTCACGCGCATTTCCTCCCAGTTGCTTTCATCCAGTAGCTCCATCTCATTGAGCAAGAGAGTGCTCAGAGTGTGTCCTGGGTTTTCCGCACAGTGAGGCAGACCACATTTGGCCGGGTGTAAAAGCAGTAGTCTTGAGTCACCCCTTTTCATGGCTTTCGAGAGATGCACGTCTTCTTGTCCCAAGGGAACATTGGTGCATAATTCATGTCCCTCTCCAGGCATGTTAACTGCAAAAATCCTTTCTTTGGGCACAGAGTGTGGAGTCTTCACAAAAGGAATTTAATGTTTGGAAGGTATTTTTTGTTTAAAGGAAAGACAATGGAGGTATTCTTTGAGCATTATCTGCTACCGCGTGAAAAGGGCCCTGTTTATTATTATATTGGAGTCTGTGGAAGGATTTTAGTAATTCCTCCTGTGTGCTTGGTGGCCCTGACATCAGAGCAGGAGGTAAGTTTTAGTTTGATGTCAAAATTATTTGCACCACTCTGGATGATGGAGGAAAAAGAACTTTTAGCTGCCCTCCAGCACATTAAACATCCTGTCAGCCCCGGGACCACCCTGGAGCCCTGCAGACCCCGAGTGACCGAGGGCAAGCCAGCTTCTCTAGACTCGCCCTGTCCTCCACCCCGAGTCTTGTAGTAATTCAGGCCTGACAGCTTCCTCGTAAGGAATGGGTTGTCCCAGGAAGTCAGTTCCTTGTCAGGCTACCCAGTGTGGTTAACTGTGAGGTGGTCAGAATTCTCTGGGAGATGTTTTTGGCCCATCTACCTGTTAGTGCGACAGATGTGTCAGTCTGACAACTGGGCCACCTAATGCATAGAAATTCAGTTTACACAGAGAATTAAAATGTCTTGTATTACTCAGGCCACATCAAACTTCCTTGACAGCCAAGAGGAAAATGAAAGTCATTCAATCTTAAGAAAGGCAAACAGGTTTCTAATATGTAAAGGGAGTCTTTTACTTATGTTTAAGACCCTCGGTTACGTAAGTGGATGCAATGCAACATGTATGGGAGGTTTGGGGAAGATGACCCAGGCTTAGACTATTGAGAGATTTTAACTGTAGGAATCCTGGAGCTCTTGTGACATGTGTTACCTCTGAAACCTGAGTCAAAAGCCAGTTTGTTTTAGCTAATGTCAATCAACAAATATTTATTGACTGCCCGTGCACTTTGAGAGGAGCAGGCAGCACACACAGGTCTTTGAAGACCGGCCTCCAGCAAGTTGCACTCTGCTGAGAGGCAGGAGAAAATACGCACGAAACAATTAAAAATAACAGTGAGCGTTTATGTCTTAAACCGTTCGTATGCTACAAAATCCAAAATAGTAGTTTATGGCTAGAGGACATATAAGGACTGGAGAAGTCAGAGCATTTTTGTAGACAGGATTTGAGAGAACGTATGAGAGAGTCCTCCAGATGAAGTTCCCAGGACAAAGTCTAATACAAGCAGGACTGACAGTTGCTTTCAGGTGGGAGCACAAACAGCCCAAGCAGTGTTTACTGAGCACCTACTATATGCCAGATACTGTGATGGCAGGGAGGTGTGGGGGTTTAAAGATGAGTGAGATACAGTCCTTGCCCTCAAAGGAGCTGAGAGTTTGATAGGGGTCAGTTAAGTTGCTTCTAGAGCTGTGGAATGCAGGGCTTCTGACTGTTCACAAGCTTTGGGAATTACAGCCTGGAATGGTGATAGCCTTGGAAACGGTGTGATGCAGGACGGCCTCAGATTGCAGAGTTAAACTCTGACTGTTCTAGCAGAAAAATTCCAGCACACTCTTGGCTCAGGGCAGTCACCCAATGCCTGCAAGCCAGGCCCCACTGGAAAACTAATCCCTAAGGTTTCAGTTCTCAAAATGTGCCGGTGCGGCAGCTCAAACAAAATGGGTTCCCATGCTTTTCTGTCAGTTGGCACCGAAGCCTGCTGGAGAATATGGGCTCAGGTTTAAAATACTTGAGCCTCTCTAGCCAGCAGCTGAAACTTGAGAGAATAAAGTGGTAGTGTTATGGAGGGCTGGACCCGTCTGTCCTAGGAAGTCACAGTGACTGCTGAAACAGAAAGTTTTATTTTCAGAGGAAATCTAATGAAAGCCAGTATAGTAAGGGAAACATTTTTTTATAATTCCTGTTAGGAACAAACATTCAATGTGATTTTTAAAAATAGGACAATAATGAGTGTTGCCTGTTTCCAAACACAAATGTTGTTTAGAAGCTGACAGTCTGCTTTATTTGCTTCTGGGCTTTCATGAGATACTGATGGAAAAATATCAGTTTACTAAAGCCATTAAAAAAAAATTATATGTCTACTCTGCCTCCAATTCATGCAAGTTACTCCTTTGGCAAGATTAGGTTGAATTTTAATACTAAACCTCTTATTGGAGAGCTAAGCAGCTGTGGAGCTGGTATACTTAGTGAATGATCCCTCTCCATGTTAAGCGTGTGACTTTCTGTTGCCAAGTGCCAGTAATATGAAAAGAATGTGCTCGTGTGGGTTTATCTGCATTTGTCATTAAGGCTCTGCTAAACCAGGAGCCCTAGAAGCCCGCTCCGGTGGGCTTTCGCCCTCGTCAGAGGGACCTCACAGGCGCTGGCGTCTGCCTGGATCTGGGCTGCGGCAGAAAGCTCTGGACTGCCCAGGTGACTGGGGAGCTCTCAGCTGTAATGATAACGCTCTGAGCGCGGCCAGGCCTGCAGACATTTCGTGAGCCTCTACGGATCCCTGGTGATGATCTAGCCTAAGGGCTGTAATACCTTTGTATACATCCCCAAGAAAGTCTTAAATGATTTGAGTGTTTTGTAGCTTTTCCAGTAAGGGAGACTCACAGTGATTTTGTGACAAAGAGAATGCCTGAGATGGCTTATAACTAGCACTGGGACCACTGAAAATCAGACAGGTTTAGTGGGATGTGACAAAATAAGCCCATGATAGGTGCTTAGGTCTCTGAGCTGTCTTCATTTCTACTGGATTAGGCTACATAATGCTTCCCTTGGGGGCATTTGTCTGTCCTTGACTTCATGCAAGTTGTCAGCATCCTGAGGAAGGGTAGGGCCAGAAATGTGGTTTTGGAGGAACAGAGGAGGGGAACAGAGAGTCATGACAGTGTAAACCTGAACAGTAAGATAAATAAGCTCGTTTTATAATCTCTCACCATCCTGAATCCCTTCTCTCTCCTTTCTCAGAGAGCAGAGCTGACGTCTGATAAAGACATGTACCTTGACAACAGTTCCATTGAAGAAGCTTCTGGAGTGTATCCCATTGATGACGACGACTATGCTTCTGCATCAGGCTCAGGTATGGCTGGCTGCTTCCACACTCACTTCCAGTCCCCATGTTTGCACATGCACACGTTCTACTGGAACTTCCTTCAAGGAGACAGGCAGGATGCACAGTGGTTAAGAGCATGCTCTTTGGAGTCAAAGTGCCTGGATGTGAATTGTAACTCTCATGCACTTAACCTGTGAGATCTTGAGAATGTATTTAACTTGACTGAACCTCAGTTCTCTGATTTATACAGTGGAAGGTAGTAACAGTCCTTACTACGTAGGCTTGTTCTGAGAATCAAAAGGATTTGACATGGCATGTAGTCAGTATTCTGTCAACATTAGCTTTGAATTTTATTATTAAGGCTTTCAAAGTGATGTCCTGGAAATCACCCTTAAAGAAATCCTTGAATACTAGTTTCATGAAACCACCAAGCCTACGCTAAAGATGATAGATGAGACCAAGAAGAGTTATACCTTCTTACTCCTGGTGTGTTGCTCAAAAGTAGGAGGGAGAATGTAGCAGCCAAGTTAAATGTACAGCCATGTCCTCATCTCCCTTGGTGTGTCAGTTAATTCTGCATGATAAACCACCCCAAGTAGTAGCAAAAAACAACAATCATTTGCTTAGCTCGTCATTCTGTAGGTTGGCATTTAGGCTGGGCTCCCTCGCATGTCAGTGGTCAGCTGCAGGTTTGGCATGCACCTTGGCTCATCTTGGCTGGGCTCTGTCATCTCTCTGGGGCAGGCAGGCAGAATTGGCTGTGGTTCACAGGTCTCTCATCTCCGTCAGGCCAGCCTTTGTTCAGAGGGAGGAGGCAGAGATCCCAAGAAAGCCAGCAGAGGTGTGCAAAGGCTCTTAAAGCCTTGGCTTAGCACTGGCACAGCATTACTCCCAAATTTGATTGGTCGAAGCAAGTCATAAGGCTCTCCCAGACTCTCCCTCTTAATGAAATGAACTACAAAGTCACATTGCAGAGAATGTGGATACATGGGGGAATAAAGGATACTGGCCATTTTTGCAATCTACCATACCTGGTAAATGTTTCACCTGCTCCAGGAATGGCCCCCAAGAAGCTAAGAGGAAGAGCTTGTACATATATTTAATTAATGATCAAGTCAGGAATTTGTGATCAACAGCATGCTAGCAAAGTTTTATTTAGGACCTTTCTTGCTTTGAGTTTTCATTGTAAATTCAATCAATAGATAGTAAAAGTTATGCTGAACGTAGATGTGTGACAATCGAATTGGCCTGGGTTTTGAAATGACCCAGAATGAATGAAATCAATTGTATCTTTGGTAGAGATCTAGCTATATAAGAGTGAGTGTTTTAAGTTGGAAAACAGCAAGTCTGAGAAAGACGAGAGAGGTAGTGCTGACCTACTAACAGCAAGCTTCCAATGCAATCCTAATATAAAAATAGCCCTAGTTATTCTTGGGAGAGTGATGCTTATCGCAAACGTAGAATGAGTGTGAAAAGAGTTATTCTCCATAGCCCACAACTCTATTAATATCTTTCACTTATGGCACCTCTTTTTTTTTTCTTTAGCACCTCAAAAGTGCTTTGTAACTGTCATCTTCAAAATGTCCCAGGAAATAATAAATATGGACACTTTTTTGTCCCCGTTTCACAAATGTTAGAATCCAAGAGTTGTTAGAGATCTGTGGAGGTTGTCCAAGTCATTTTGCTGATTTCTGCTGAGACTGTCCTTAAGTTTAATACAGAGAAAGCAGGTACACAGTCCTGCTCCTCTCCCAACCCTCCCTCTCCGGAGCAACCCCATATCAGGTGAGAGGGCTTTGGATTGGGTCATTTGAAATCCTGAACCCACTAACCAGGTGGATCAAGCTGGACTTCCATGTGGGCCTGCTTCTGCCTTGGCTCCAGCCTTGAGCAGATAATTGCTGCAAAGAAGTGCATCATTCTGGCCTTGGCAAACACCCTTGCACTGCACTGGAGATGTTGATTTTAAGCTTAAAGGTAGTAGAAGTCGTAACTAAAGTTTGTAAAGCACTTACTCTGTGTGTTGGGCATTGTTCCTGTCCTTACAACATCTCTGTAAGACAGAGTCTATTATTATCTCCATTTATCACATGAGAAAACCTGAGGCACAGAGAGGTTAAGTAACTTGCCTCAGCTCACACTGTTAGAAAGTAATGGAGTGGGATAGGGACTGGGGAGTTGAGCTTGAGACTATGTTCTCTTTCACTCCTTTGCTGTAGTGCCTTCTTCTGTCATAAAACCCCGTTCTAGAATTAGGAGATCCTGCCTAGCTGATGCCCAGTCCCAGCTAGAAACTGAGATCCCCTAGGGTTTCAGTCAGTGTTCCCTCTATCCTCGTTCCTATCGAGCTATCCAGTGGAAAAGCAAATGGACTGGAGGAAAATGGCCAAAGGCCCAGAGGATACTACCCAGATTAGGAGATGGAGCCATGATATATGTGTGAACTCAAGGATGGGCATGAGCGAATATGAAAACTTCAACCATTCAGTTAAACATTTCATAGGCATTCACTGTGTGCCAGACTCTAAGCCATGTTCTTGGGACACAGAGATGAGAAAGACTTGGTCCCTGTCCTCCAAGAACCAAGAGTCCGAGGAGAGAAATGTAGAACTGAGAAAAAATAGTTGTAACATCATATCAGGAATGACGTAACATAGAAAAGTGCTATACAACAAAAATTTGAGTTAAATGTAGAGTTCTGGTTAAAGATGGCAGATTGAACACACATACCTTCCAACACTCAACTAAACTAACAATAAAGGAATTGGGCCTAAACTCACAAGGACAGACAAGACAGTACAGGAGACAAAAGCCACAATGTTTTGAAAGCTGGGAAGCAGATGGACCAGTAGTAACAGACTTGGCAGACATGAGAAGGCTGAGTCAGCCAGCAGTAGGGTTGGGAGCAGGGAAGCCAAGAAGCAACTCATTTAGCACAGCAGAGTCCCCTTGGGCCCAGGAATTGGTGGCACTAGATGGAGTGTGAAAGGAGTACTAAATTCAGGATGATTGGTTGAGAGTCTGCTTAAGGAGCAAGTAGATTCCCTGATTCCTTCCCACTGTAATGCAGCAAAAGGTCTCATGCTCCCAACCTCAGAAGAAAACTGGAAGTTTGTTTTCTGGAGAGGATGAAACAGAGGGTCTTTGGACTTGAGAGTGTACCAGGCACAGATGGGGCTGGGAGTACCGTCTTGAAAAGAGGGAGAAGGAGGTCTAGATTAAGAGTCATTTAATGCTGAGGTGTTCCCAGTTATGTTCTCCCAGTCGCTTCCTGGACACTGACAGTCTAGCCTCTACCCTCCCTGGGGAATTGGACCAACTCAGAGGAAACAGCTCGAGGACACTGGCATTGGTAGTGCTCCAAAATAACACACAGCTCTGTCCCAACTGATGAGGCCCACACTTAACAAACCTCTCTATATGCTCAGAGCTTCTAGTCAGCTTTTTAGTGTTTCCCTCCTAAGCGTGAAAAGACAACCAAAGCTCCCCAGACATTTATGGAAAAACTTGTAACACAAAAGATAGAGACCTCCCTACACCCCCAAAATTGGGGGAGGACAGAAACTCACAGGGAGAAGAGAACTTACAGGAAAACTTACCAAATAGGGAGAGAGAAGAGGATGCTTTAATGGTGAAACAAGAAGAGGATACTATAAAAAAGGAACATTTTGAGAGTACAAGAGAGTCCTCGGAGAGAAGAACTGTCACATCAGAAATGAAAAACTCATTAGAAGATGAGAAGATACAGAGGATATTTATTCATTCATTCACCAAGTGCTTATTAACCACCTAGTACGTGGGGGAACAGACACCATCCTAGGTGCTAGGAACACGTCAGTAAATAAGCTCTAACAGTGCTTTCGCTGGTGGTGGAATAATTTTACTTATTCCTTTCTGTATTTGTGTGTTTCCAAATTTCATCCGTGAAAATGTATTTTTTAAAACATGTATTCTTTTTATAAGTAGAAGAAAATGTTATTTTTTTAGAAAGAGATTTGGTAAACAGTAGGAACATACAGAAAGAAACGGTTCCACGATGGAGAGAGGGGATGGCGTTAGTTGTGGGCACAGTGGTGTAAGCAGGAGCTTCTCAGGTAGAGGTGGGCTCTGGAGTAGGATGCCTCAGGCAGAGAGAACAGAGAGAACTGAAAGTCAGGGGTGAGAGGAGATGTGAGGGGGCTTCAGCGTCCCTGAGCAAGAGGCTCCATCTTTTTAACAGAGATGATAAATACAGTAGAAGAGCCTGCTTCGGCAGGTCACTCGTCTGTCTCTAACTTCAGTGCGATCTTGAGGGAATTCTCTACTGTATAAAATCTCTTCTCTCTCACAACAGATTCTCCATATGCCTAGTTTGATGATGCATACTTATAACTATTGTGAACCAAGGAGGTCTTGAAAGCGCTTAATTGAAAGTTTTTCTCATAGAACTTTTATCCTTTGTAAGAAAATGATTCGCTGTGGGAGCAAATCAAGCATATTAAATGTAAAACTTTGATGGAAAATCAGGTAGGCTGATATAAAAGAGCAGTGTGTTTCTGGAGCCATCGTTATTAATGACATATTTACAGAACATTTTATGTGTACAGAATGCTTTCGAGGATATGTTACGTTGACACCTCGGAGAGTTAGTTGTTATTATCCCCATTTCACAGATGAAGAAACTAAGACTCAAGCATTACTTGCCTGAGATCACAGCACTAATAAATGCCAGAGTGAGTACTAGGTTGGTTGGTTTGTTTATTTAGTGCCAAATCTCGTATTTATTCCAATATATCCTGCCATTTCTTCTCTCTGTAATGAGTATACATGCTGAAGTTAGAGGAGACAGGTGATATGTTAAAATATTAGAAAGTAAACTACAGTCACAGCCGTTGCACTGTTTCTATCATGTTACCTTTTACTTTCCTAACTGCGTATCACATTCACATAGTTCTGTGAGGAATTTGGAGGTATTCGTCATTCGTTCCTGTCTGGGGAAGCAGCCTAGTTTGAGTTCCAGAGTTTTGAGTTTATTTGAGGTGTTGCAAATTTGACAAATGATCAACTTAAAAAGAATGTTGTATTTGAATATCAGAAATTCTCAAATGCTGTTCTGGTAAAAAGGCAAAAAAAAAAAAGAGGAAAAATATTGCCCAGGTGACACTTTGTGGTTAGTCACTTACTTGAACAAATACTGGATCAGAGCCTGTATGGGCCAGGGACTCCGCTAGGCACTCAGAGAACAAACCAGATGCAAAGCCTTGGCCTTAGGGAGCTTCCGGTCCAGTAGGGGAAGCTTCAATCAATAGTTAAACAAACACATAATTACAAATTTGTGATAAATGCAATTAGGATAAGAAAGGTGGTGCTAAAAACCCATTTAACAAAAAGCTGTGACCTAATATGGAAGGGAGGTCTCCCCCCCAAGGACTGACCTTTATGCTGAGATGTGGAGGTGAATTAGGAATTAACTAGGCGAGGGCTTCTGGCAGAAGAACAGGAGACCCTGGCTGGAGCACGGGATAACAGGGAAAATGATGCTCGAGGGAGCTGGACCATGCAAGGCTGGGTTGAGGCAGGTTCTATTCATTTCAAGGGCAGTAGAGTACCACTGTAATAGTTTTAAACAGGAGGATGATGAGGTTACAGCCAATTTGTGGACAGTAGACTGAAAAGACCTATTAGGAAGAAGGCAGGTGTCGTGGTTCATGGAGAGATTACAGTGGCTTGGATGAGAGTAGTGGCCTTGGAACTACAGAAAGGTGTTAGAGTGTAGGCGTTAAACAGGTCAAATCAAGAGAACTGGGTGATGGATTTGATGTGGTGGTAAGGAAGAGGAATTCAAGTTGTGGTTTATATGCCTGGAAGGAGCATGGGGAGAAGACCAGGTTTGCTGGGGAAGAGGGAGAGAGATCACGAGTTCTGTTTGGGATGTGTTAGAGGTATATAGTACCTTTAACTCATTCAGGTGAAAATGTCAAGTAGGCCAGTGGATATATAGATCTGAATTTCAGAGGAGTGGTATAAGCTAATGATGTAAATTTAGGTCTCATTTATATTTAGATGGTAATTGAAGCCATGAACGTGAGGGAGGGAGAAAGTGTAGAGTAAGAAGCAGCCTGGGGCTGAATCTTACTGAACTCTTGATATTTTGTGTCCAGGTAGGAGAGAATGAACCTGCAAAAGAGGTTCATTCTTTTACCAGAGAGGTGAGGGGAAAGCCAGGAAGTCAAAGTCATAGAAGCCTAAAGATGGAGAGTGTATCGAGAAGGAGATGATAATGGACAAGTGTCCAGTAGTGCTAGGAGGTTCGATTAGATGAGGATCATTCTGGAAAATGCCATTGGAGATGGCATCATGGGGGAGACGTGGGTGACCTTAACAAAACAGTGCTAATAGTGTGATGAAAGGGAAAATCCACCTAGAAGGAGTAGAGCAGAGAGTGGAGTAGAAGGTGCGAAAAAGAGCTCGTGAGTATCCGCATCACCACTGGAAAAGTCTGGCTATAAAAAGGGGAGGAGGGCAGCCCCTTGCCTCAGGTAAAGGTTCGGCTGTGGGAGTCTGCCGTTTTTGTTTATTTTGTTGTGTTTTAAAGTGGAAAATGCAACATGTTTCAGTGTAGAAGGGAAGAAATCTCATCAGCAGGAGAGATTGAACATACAGGTGAAAAAAGGGCTCCCTGAGAGTGTTCAGGATGATGATATTTTAGAGAAAAATGCCAGACTACCCACAGATCCACTTTGACACCACTTCTTCATCACCTTGAAGACTGCGGGAAGGTTTGTGCTGAGTTCTTGAGGAGCAGGTCTTGAAAGAACGTGGCTCTGTCAGTGTCAGCCTTAGACAGGATTTTCTGATAATGTAGAAATCTGTGTCACGATTCATGTGCTCAGCTCGTCTTTGCTTATTTTCCCAGGAGCTGATGAGGACATAGAGAGTCCAGAGCTGACAACATCTCGACCACTTCCAAAGATAGCGTTCACTAGTGCTGCTCCAAAAGTGGAGACCACAACGCTGAAGATACAGAACAAGATACCTGCACAGACGAAGGTGTGTTTGTTATGTGTTGCATTATCAGGTTGTTGTAAAATGTTCCCTTTTTTTAGTTTAACAGAATGTTCTTAAGAGGCCATATTTAAAATTAGGTAAGGACAACTGGTCTTTTCATTATATAATTGGATCTTCCTTACTCTTCATGATCATTTTAACATTTACTCACCTACTACTTTTTTGTTATTGTTAAATACACTTTGTTTTTCAGAGCAGTTTTAGGTTCACAGCAAAATTGAGTGGGAAGTACAGAGATTTTCCATATACCCTCTGCCCCTACATATGCACAGCCTCCCCCACTATCACCATCCTGCGCCAGGGTGGTACATTCATTACAATCAATGAACCTACATTGCCACATCATTATCACCCAGAGCCTATAGTTTACTTTAGGGTTCATTCTTGGTGTTGTGTATTCTTTGGTGCTGACAAATGCCTAAGGACATGTGTCCACCATTATGGTGTCATACAGAGTAGTTTCACTGTCCTAAAGGTCCTCTGTGCTCCACCTCTTCATCCCTCCTGCCCTCCAACCCCTGGCAACCACTGATCTTTCTGCTGTCTTCCTAGTTTTGCTTTTTCCAGAATGTCATATAGTTAGAATCATATAGTACGTATCCTTTGCCTGTTGGCTTCTTTCACTTAGTAATATGCATTTACGTTTTTAAAAATTGCCTTTAGGGTCTGGCCCTGTGGCCTAGTGGTTAAGTTCAGCACACTCTGCCTCAGCAGCTCAGGTTTGGTTCCCCAGTGTGGTTCCACACCACTCTTTGGTAGCCCTGCTGTGCTGGCGACCCACATACAAAATAGAAGAAGATTGGCACAGCTGTTAGCTCAGGGCCAGTCTCCCTCACCAAAAAAAGAAAATTGACTTTAAGGAAGTAATTGTGTCAGATCAAGATAAAGAAGATAGATCATCTGTTTGGCAGAAGAGCTCAGATTAAATATCCAAAAAACTTAAAAATATTATTCCTAGTATTTGTATTCAATGTACTACTAATAAAAATTCATCCATTCATGGGAGATTTGAGCTACTCATTATGTGTCAAACACTATTTTAGGTACTGATAATATTGATATTGAATAATAATAGTGATTAAATTTTCTATTTTGTATTTACATGGCACAGCTAAATTAAACATTGCCTCTATGATACCATTAATGTAGAATTTGCTTTTGAATGAGTCTCTCAGTGACATTAATGTCATTGTTATAGGTATTCTGTCTAGTTTGTTGTAAATTTTTGTGATAGAAGTTTTTTTAAAAAACAGTTATTTGTTCAAGCAGAGCTTTGTTTGTAATCTTTTACTTCCATTATATTTCCATGGCATCCAAACAACCGGGCATGGATATGACAAATGTTTAATTGGCTTCATAATCATCTATGCTGACTTTCTGTAATTTCGTTTTGCATGTATATACAAGAGATAAGGTTTTTCAGATTAGTTCTGTACAATAGAAAGAATTATTCTTAGTGCAGGCCCTGCTTCCATATGGTAAAACTCAGGATAGAATGAGTGTTCTGCCCTGACCACTGGAGGCTTGTGCTCTGATGGACCATTGCTCTAAGTGCACGGTGGCCCCAGTTCTGTGGAAAACTTCCATCCCTACACCTGCAGACACCTGGAATGCTTCCTCGCTGCTGAATTAGAAGCTGAGTCAGACAGATTTGAAGTGTCCACTCTCTCAAATGATTTTAGGGACTCAAGGAACCTGAGGAAGAGGGGCCAGCCCAGTGGTGTAGTGGTTAAGTTCGCATGCTCTGCTTCAGTGCCCCTGGTTTGAGGGTTCAGATCCTGCGTGTGGACCTACACACTGCTTTTCAAGCCATGCTGTGGCAGCATTCAACATACAAAATAGAGGAAGATTGGCGCAGACGTTAGCTCAGCAACAATCTTCCTCAAGCAAAAAGAGGAAGATTGCCAACAAATGTTACCTCAGGGCCAGTCTTTGTCACAAAAAAAAAAAAAGAAAGAAAAAAAACCTGAGGAGAATTCATGTGATTTCTCATAATAGTGGGATAAAGATGACATGGGTAAGTTAAACTCAGCCTCTAATATCACAATAGCTACCTATGTGCATCTCATTTGCCACCAGAACTTGCTTTCCTCTTTCCCTAGTCACAGACCTGAGTATCCAGCTATTTGAGTTTTCTCTTCTTTTTCCCAACCTCTAGTAGCAGTGCTAATGAGGACTGAAAAGTTTCCTAGATTAGTACCCACATAATCCATTCTCTCATCTGTTGAGTTGTCTGTCCTTCCATGTTGAGTTGTCTGTCCTTCCGCCAGCCAGCTAATTAGTGACAGACTTTCCATAAGAAGAATAGAGAAAACTCAGACAAAATACTGCCAATGAGCTGCTCTATTCTGCTTTACTTTGGTATGTGAAGGCCCAGGAAGACCTTTCGTATTTTCTTCTCTTGCTGTAATGTAGAGAACAGTGAAATTTTGGGTTCATGTTGTGCAGCAGTGAAATGGTTTTCCTATGGCCTTTGCTTTTTGTAAGTCATGACAGGTTGAGGTGTAAGGTAGTACAGGGTTTTCTGCAGCTTGAGAAAGTAAGACAGACATTCTTCATCACACTTTAGTATATACCATCTTCGGTGGAAACCTAGTGCTCCATTCACTGAGGCAGGGACCCACTGACCTCACATACTCTGGAGTTCAAATGGATCCACTTGGCCTAGCTTGTAGTCCTTCCTAGAAATGCCAATGACCCTAAGGCACCCTATGAAAGTGAGGTCTTTTCTTCTTATGTTCTTTAACCATCTAGACTTAAGTAGCAGGCTGCCATTTTGGATGAACCCTGGCCTTCAGATAGCAATCAGTCATTACCTGAGACATAGCATAGAGTCCTAAAGAAGATGGTTGGCTGTTCTTAGGAAGACTGATAGTGCTAAAAACGATTATTGTCTACAATAATAGCCCAATGGAGTTGACAGTCTTCTTCATCAATAGTTGTGGCCAGCCAGAACTTCAGCCTGATAGAGAATAGCCAATTCATTTGAACTGAGCTTCTCTAACCCACTGGTTCTCAAACCATAAAAATGTCTGGAGTGCTTTAAATAAACAACAAAAATCAATGCCATCTTCCCCAGCCCAGACCAATTGAAAGAGAATCTCTAGTGGTGGGGCTTGTATTTTTTTTTTTTAAAGCTACTCAGTGACTTCAGATTTCATTGTAACCTTAAGTCATTTACACAAGATGGCCAGTGTTGGTGCTGAAAGTTAGAATGCCAACAGATGATTTATATGTTGGTGTGGTAGAATGTCAAGTGTTCTGGGGTTTGAGAGAGGTGAAAGATCAGGGAGGGCTTCATTAAGGATAAGTGGACAATGAAAGAAGTGAAAAATGCAGACTGGGGCTAGGAGAGCTGCAGGAACCAAGGCAAAGATGGTAAGAGTCTTTGGTAGGCAAGTGGCAGTGGAGATGGCCTCGCAGGGATTCCTACTGGGGATTAAGTGGTGGGCTAGGGGGAAGACTGGAAGCCACCCAACCTGTGCGGTTTTGAGGTGGTTGCAAGAACTTGGGTGCGATGTGACAAAGACCTGAATAAGGCTGTGAAAAAGAGAATCCAAGGAAGGAAATTAATTTGATAGAATGGTGAAAGGCAAATTTCCAGGACTGTGATACAGCAAAATATAAAATTTGGAATGTGCTAAAAAACATAACTTTGGGGGCCCAAGAGAATAGTTGGTACCATTAATGGGAATAGAAAAGAGAGTTGATCGGATGCAGTGGTGAATTACTTTTTATACTTGACAAGTAGAGTTCTGGGTGGTGTAGCCAAGGGTTAGTGTCCTGTAGGCTGCTGGCTAGGTGAGAATAGTGCTGCTAGAGATGAGGCTGTGAGAATTATCACTGCAGATTTATACTTTAAAATTATGGAATACCTAAGAAGCTGAGAGTGTCTTTCATTGGATAGACGAGGAAACTGAAGTCCAGAAAAGTGGTAAGACTTGGTTGGGATCACACAAGAGCTATTTGCAGAACCCAGGTCCCCTGAAGCTCTAGTTTAGGATTTGCTGAAGGTGTAAGAATGACTAAGGGAAGGGGAGCATGACAGAGTAAGCCTGGGAGTCTGCTCCCCACAGAGTGCGAGCAAGAGAGCCTTGGAGAATACCTGGAGAGAATGCCCAAAAGGAAGCCAACTGTCACAGTGCCCTGTATAGTAAAGAGTTGAAGGACTAAGGAGGATTGGGGCAAAGCTATTGGGTTGGAGCAGCTGGAGGGAGATGATAGCCTGAAGTCGGAAGAGTGGTGAGGAAGTAGAGATCTGATGAAACATCAGCTAAAACAACCTAACCATGTCATTAGGATTATTATGAACTCACTAACTATCCATTTTGCTTATATACGTGGTGGGTGTTATACAAAACCATGAACTATATGACACTGTCATATGACTGACTCATTCATATAAACATCACACAAAGTGATTATTCCAATTATTTTCTAAACTCATTATTTGAAATAAATTTTAGAATATTATTATCTATTATTTCTTCTTTCCAGCACATTTAAAAAGAAATCTTTATAATCTTTCCCTTTTTCCTCTGCCAGTCACCTGAAGAAATTGATAAGGAAAAAGTTCACCTCTCTGACTCAGAAAGGAACGTGGACCCAGCTGAAGAGGACACGAATGTGTATACTGAGAAGCACTCAGACAATCTGTTTAAACGAACAGAGGTCCTAGCAGGTGAGTAGCCCTGTGGGGGTCAGGTGGAAGCGTCCTTGAATAGGCCTGTTTTTCTTAAGTGATTCAGATGTAGGCAAAACTTGCCTAATGTCACCTTCCTACTGAAAGCAGTCTTGAGGGCCTATCTCATTCCAGAGTGAGAGGCAAGAGTTAGGCAAATGTTCTTTATTTTCTGTCAGTTCCCTCAGCCTAACCCTTGGCTAGCCATTGCCAAGGCGGGGTCGGGGGCGGGGGAGGGGGAGTGGGGAGTTGGGGCAGGGGGTGGTGAGGGCTAAGAAGAAGAATGTTCAGATCTGAATTGGTCCAGAACAATTCGGCATGGCAGATGGCAGGATGTGAAGATCAGTCTTGCTCCACGTCATCCTGATTTCAAAATAAACTCAAGAGAAGGAAAAGTTCTTTATGGGAAGGGCAGCTGACACAAATGTGCCCAAGGCATTAGGGATGTTGTCTCTAATTGTAACTTATCTGATGAAAGTATGATCATTTGATTTTAAAGAGGAAGATTCACAAGATTTAAGAACACTTAATCCTTGAAAGGATAGTCCTAAATCTATCCTTATAAAGGAAATTTGCATGCTTTTTTCCTTCATATCTACCCTTATAAAATTTAAGTCAATTATATCATGTTTGGTGTTTTCATTGAAAAAACAATTAGAAGATTAGACTATGAAATGTGAGTACTGAAAAGACTGAAAAATTTTAAAGTATGGAATTAGTTGAGGTCACAGCCAGATTTTTCTAATTGAGGCTTTTGGGTGCTATTATTAATACTAATCAAAGAAAATATTGTACCTTCCTGAGGAATGTCAGATTTGCATAATTACCTGGTTGCTTCATTGAATCCAGTTTTTAAAAGTTTTGGAGTTTTCAAATTAAGCCTTTTATAAAAGCGTAAATAGATTGGGCTTTACAAAGCTAATTTCTGCAACCCTTGAATCTCGTCTAAAAGTAATCTTCCTTGTGGTGTGTTTCAGCTGTCATTGCTGGCGGAGTTATCGGCTTTCTCTTTGCAATTTTCCTTATCCTGCTGCTGGTGTATCGCATGAGAAAGAAGGATGAAGGAAGTTACGACCTTGGGGAACGCAAACCATCCAGTGCTGCTTATCAGAAGGCGCCTACTAAGGAGTTTTATGCGTGAAACTCCCACTTAGTGTCTCTATTTATGAGATCACTGAACTTTTAAAAATAAAGCTTTTGCATAGAATAATGAAGACCTTTGTTTTTCGGTTTTTTTCATTAAAGAGCCATTCTGGCACTCTAATGATAAAATCCCATTGTATTTAAAACTCTTCATGTATTTCTTTAGAACAACATAAAATTAAAACTTAACACCTGCAGTGTTCTGTGAATAGCAGTGGCAAAATATTATGTTATGAAAACTCTCAATGTTCATGGAATCGGTTTAAACTTTTATGTGCGAATATGAAATGATTGTTTTTATCCTATGGTCCGAAGATGAGAGCTGTTTAATTTGTGTTGGCATGTCTCAGATTGACCTTACCAAGTTGGTCTTCCTTTGTTAATTTATCTGTTGTTGCCCTCTCCTCTCTTGTCCCCTCAAAAACAAAACAAAACTCTATGCCTTCTGTAGCTGTTATGGTGCAGTTTGTCTTTGGATAATTCAGATAATGGTAATTTAGTGTATATGTGAATTTCAAATATGTAAACTTAACCTCCACTTTGTATAAATTTTTAAGTGTCAGACTATCCATTTTACACGTGCTTTGTTTTTCATTACCTGTAGCTTCCGGCAGATTTGCAACAGCAAATTAATGTGTAAAATTGGATTATTACCACAAAACTGTTTAGTCATATCAATCTATCAGATCTTCTTTTGGGAGGATTTGATGTACGTTACTGACAAGCCTCAGCAAACCCAAAGATGCTAACAGTATTTTGAGAAGTTGCCGCAGATTCCTTTGGCCACTGTATTTGTTAATTTCTTGCAATTTGAAGGTACGAGTAGGGATTTAAGGAAAAATCAGTTTTTGTTCTTAAAAATGCATTTAAGTTGTAAACGTCTTTTTAAGCCTTTGAAGTGCCTATGATTCTATGTAACTCGTCGCAGACTGGTGTTAATGAGTATATATAACAGTTAAAAAAAAGTTGGTATTTTATAAGCACAGACAATTCTAATGGTAACTTTTGTAGTCTTATGAATAGACATAAATTGTAATTTGGGAACATAAAAACTACTGAATAAATCATGTGGCCTAATATTGAAAATGTCACTGTTATAAATTTTGTACATTTTTGATCAAATGTACATCTCTTTGCTAGCAACCGTCTGCTCTCAAGGATGATGTGGGTTTGATTTCTGAGTGTTGCACAGTGTCTGTAAACCAAAACCAAAGAGCTCATTGATGTGGCTGTTTATTACCAGATTTGCTTCTGAATTGGCCAGAGGAAATCTGAATGTGTCATCCTGTGTGTGTTTGGGTATAGATATTGGAAGGTTGCCAGGGAGGGAATTGTAAAGTTTGCAACCTTTATAGGATAGCTGATGGCAATATTGAGACGGATGCCTGCTTTTGCAAATAGCTTTTAGGACTATAATTTCCAGAGAAATGAAAAGGGGCTTTCCTGACATCGGAGCTAAGGTTCAGTCCCATAGATTGATTTCCCTTTGAAACTGTGCTCCAAATCTCTCCTGAAGCTCTACCGAAGAACTACTAGATGGAATAGCATAGTTCACACTTTAGGGGAGGAGAGAAGGGCAAGGAGGCTCTGCATGAACAGCAGGGCCTCGCTGCTTAGGATAGAAATTGCTGGAAGCAGTGAGGCCTGAGCAGGAGATGGAAGTATGAGGGTACCCTGCCTGGGTACTTCCTTCTAACTCAACATTTCCTTTTTCTGTTTTACTATTAATTTTGTTTGAAACTGTGAGCTTGCCAAAGTAGGAAGAAGGCAGCAAAAATAGCAACCTTTCCAACATATAATTTACTTTTAATAAAGTATGAATACTTCATTTAGAGAACATTCCCTGGAATTGCCACAGAACTCATTTTTAAAAAAACTTTTTTAAGCAGCACTGTGAACAGTGTTTACTTAAATTTTCAATGGCCTTAATTCTCAAATTCCTGTCCCATCACTGCAGAATCAGTCCACGTTGGAGAGATTAAAAGGAAGGGATAGCACTTTCTGAAGCGGCACAATATGCCTCAATTACCGAGCTTAGGAATGTAGTGGGTATACCTCTAACTGTGCAAAGCATAGTCAAATTCAGTTCGTAGGATAACAACTGCTTGGATATCCAGGCCAGGAAAAGAAAATTTCTGGCCAATATTTTGTCACTGCTGTAAAGCAAAATATTTGTTAAAGTGCCAAAATAAAGTCTGTCATGCTGAAAGTAAAAAAATCATTGTATAGACTGACATCCGACTTTCTTCAACTGCACGTTTTCTGCTTAGCTTATTTTTCTTATTTTTAAGATGCAGTGAATAGTACTATAAAAAGTGTTAGTAATGATTACCAAGTTCAGGAAAATTTTGGTAAAATACAAATATTAAAGCCAATGTGAAAATTTCATGTTTCCTTAACCACTTAGAATTTCCTTTGCATGAATATGGCTTTGTGTTTGGAGAGTTGCAATATCCAAACTCTCCCATTTTCAGCATTTGGGGGTATATGGGATGAGCCCATGTTTTTTTTTTTTTTTACAAGTTTCAGCTGCAGGTGCATAGTTCCTGAATTTCAGGATTAGCACCTGCTTAATAAAATTGAATTTAGGTTGGACAAGATTGCAGAAATTGTCATCTATTAACATTAAAAGTTGACGGTTTCTGATCAAATGCTTAGTGAATTGGTATTTTGGTAATGCACTTCTTTTTTTCAAATTAGACAAAATGCTCTTGCTTAATGAGAATATACTCTGTATAGGGTCTAGGAGACTAAGCTAAATAAGTAGAACATAATTACCTTACTCTGGTTGCCCTAAAGAACTGAAATGTTCTGCAAAGGGTGCTGATTCTTGCAAGAACAAGCACAATAATAACTTCATAGTTTTTAGGAGCTTATATCTTCAATTTTAGACATTTTGAAAGCTTAGGGAAATTTTTTAAGTGAGGAGCCAAAATGTAAATCTAAAAATATTGCAGAGTTAATTTTATAATCAGGATCTTCTTTATAGCTTTATTATAATTATATAATGGGATGGTAGAAAAATATATTTTTAATACATTTGGTTTAAAAGGGGCAAAGACTAAGCAACACAACCCCTAACTTGAGTTTCTAAGTTAAAAGTGGCAGACAACAGTGAGACTCTTAGGAGGTTTCCAATTAAAATCAGTCAGGCCAGATGATACAATGGAGTAGTCTTGAGTAATCACTAAAGTTGTTTTCAGTGCTAATATTTTATGACAATAGAGGAATTTGAGATTTGGCCATTTCTGGGGAGATTTAGCCGACATGGAAAACTTTAAAAAGGATAGAACAACTGTCTGCTATTTTGCGGTAAAAACTATCAAAATGAATTTTGTGACACTCTTGTCTCCTAGCTCTGTATCACTTCACTCTTATTACAGTGCTAAGATTTCATTCCTTGTTTATCTGGTGCACATGGGCTTTAGCAGGGCCTTTTCTGACCAGAGAATTGTGGCAGCTTGGGAGCGACTGGTTTCCTGTGAATTAGCTGGAAGGGTGTAACCCAAGCAATAGTTCCAACCCACAAATAGTGGAGTGAAGCTTTAGGCTTTGGTACTTCAGATGTGCTGAGCGCAAGACTCATTCATGCCAGTTTGCTTGGTAAAATAATATTTAAGCAACAAATGCTTGTATGTGCAAGGCGTTGGAGGCTTAGTCAACAGGTATTTGCCTACTGACTATGGCCTGGGCACTCTAGGAGCTGGGAGTATAGAGGAGAACTAGGTAGATGGAGACTCTGCTCTCATGGTGTTTGGAGAGGTGTGCATAGTGGAAACAAAATAAAACTAACAGGTGGAAGTTATCAGTTGGTAATTTCCATGATGGACATAATGGAGGCTGATGTAAGGGACAAAAGGACAGTATCACATAGGCTACGTATGCTGCGGGAACAATCGCAAAGCCTCGGCAACTTGAAACAGCAAAGATTGATTTCTTGCTCATGCCATGTATCTGTGGGTTGGCAGAGAGTTCTGCTCTGAATAATTGTCATCCTCACAACAGCTCTCAGGCCAATGGAGTAGCCAGTCACTGGTAGAAGGAAAAGCGTGGTGGAGCACACAGTGGCTCTTAAGACTTCCACCCTTTAGTGACCTACGTCACTCCGACCTACATTCATTGGCCAAAACAAGTCATGTGGCCACGCTTAACTTCCAGGGTACGGAGAAGTGCAGGACTACTTTGTGCCCAGAAGGAGAGAGACGGGATATTTGAGAATAGCTTTAGTGACTACTACAGCCTGGTCAGGAAAGATCTCTGAGAGGGTAAGGCCTGAATGATCTAGAGCCAGTTGTGCTAAAATCAGGACAAGCATTCCAGGCTATGGGAAGCCTTAAAGAGGGAAAGAGCTTGGCGCGTTGGAGGAATAGTGAGAAGGCCAGTGGCTGCTGAGCAGGGGGATAGCGATAGAAGAGGTGCAAGAAGAGGACTGAGAAGTACAATTGCCTCCTTCCTGGCAATATACAGCAGATAAAGGAACTATTGTTCCTTTATATTTTATTCCCCACAAGGAAGCTAGACTGATCTGTTTATGATATAAATTATTTTATGTCAGTCTTTCCATGGCTCCTATAGCACTTGGAACGAAGTCCTGGCTCCTTACCCTCAAGATCTTCAGGAATGGACCCCTGGGCAATTCACTATAAGGAGACACAGTGGGCGTAGGATGGCCAGTTAGGTCATTATTGTTACCTAGGGGAGAAATGATGGTGGCTTTGCCTAAGGTGGTAATAGTGGAGATGGAGATGACTGGAGAGGAATTGTTTTGGGAGGTCTTGCTAAAAGGCTGGAGGGAGTAGAGAATAAGGAAAGAGAGGAATCAAAGATGACACCCATATTTTGCGCTGCGCTGGTGAATCATGTTCTGAGAAGGGGAAGATCAGGGACTATTAAGCTGGTAAATCAAGAGTTATTTTGGGCCATGTTAAGTTAGAGAGGACTGTTAGCCACCCAAGTGGAGGTGTCAGGTGAACAGTTGAACATAAGAATCTAGAGCTCACAGCAGAGGTCTGAGCTGGAGAGATTAATTTAGTAGTGTCCATCATTTGCCTGTTCGCACTCTGACTCCTTTCCTTCTCTTCCCTGCTCTGCTCTCAATGGAAGTTGGAGTGGGGAGTTTCCCAAGCTTCCTTGCCAACAGGCTTCTGGGAAAATTTGGCCAATGGAAGCTACTTCCATTTGGCAAATGGAAGAAGACGAGGTCAGGAGGAAGGGAAAAGCCAGAGTACTTTCCCTTCTCTTGGCTTTGGGCAGCATCTCTAATATTGATGAGTCTCCTCTATGGTTTAAATTTGCACTAGGCTGACCAGCCTCCAGCTTGCCAGCTCCCACTGTTGCTATACTCTCATAAACCCCGCTTTCCTGCTTTGTTTCTCCAGCCCTGGGGTAGTGGCTTCCTGCTGTTGCTTTTCTCTGGGTTATCTCTCCCTTCCCAGGTTGCCTTGCAGCTTTTCCAACAACTTTGTAACTAAATCTCTGGTTTAAATTCCCTCTGTTGCCTTACCTGGCATGAGTTCTGTTTTCCTTTCTGGACCCCAACTGATGACATAGGAGTGAACAGCATGCAGATGGTATTAAAAGCCGTGGGATTAGATGAGATCAGCTGGAGAGGCAAGTAGATGGAGAAGGAGGATGGCCCTGGGTCTGCCTTCTAGTGCAGTCTGACTACTTTTTAGATGAACCACTACCGGATTCACTCTTTAGCACTGGTCACCGAACTGGATTTTCATTTTGGCAGATGCTGAGCAGGAAACACAATCTTTAATGGCAAGGGGGAAAAAATCCCCATAATGCATCATAGAGAGCTCATTTTTTGAGCAAATTAATAAGCTTGTTAAACTATCCACTTCTACCAGGTCGTTAGTAACATGCAGTATGAACTGTTTAAAACTAAAAAAAGTAATTGGGCAGAGGGGTAAGAACTATTTGAATATTCAAGAAATATCTCCATTATCTGTGTTTATAATGGGAAAATATCAGCAAACAAAGTAAGTCATTCTCCCATTTTTTAGCCTTGTCCTGGGGTCTTTGAAGCAGGGTTTTTGCCTCCTTAAATACATTCTTCTTAGGTAACTGCCAGAGCGAGCTTGCA